AAGGAGCACATCAATATTGGCTTTTAGATAAGTTTAATTGTCTGTATTTAAAAGTTTATTAACCGCAAAATGCATAGCTCAATTTCGAAAGAACTTTACAAACTTTACGAGTTCACAATTTCCATTAAATTGGGGCAAAAAGTTTTACCAAGTTTTTGGGCTCAGGTGTTGCGGCATTAGAATTTAACTAACAGGTACTAAACGACCTTGCCCCTGGCATGTTTGGCACTAAACACTTTAGATATTACTTTTCACCCGGGTTGCGGCCTGAGCAAAATTAAACTCTGCTCGTTCTATCTTCAACTCCGGGCCTTTTTTAAAAAATATGTTTCAGTAATAACATATAAAGAAGCAAAGAACCAGTATAGTCTTGCGCTGTGAATCTTGAAGCCAAAAGGTCAACTTTCGTTCATGAAACCTTTCCATCCAAGAGCGTGGATTCTGCGAAAAGCATCATATTTCCACTGTTGCGGGTGGAACTTCCCAAATCGCTAAAACACGTATTCACTCAAGTTTTTATGTAGCGCTTTGAATATTAGTTTGAAGCGAATCGGCTACGACTCTCGAATGAAATTTTATAAATATCCTTGAAAATGAACTTAAGCACGAAACAGCACCCCCATTTCCGTCCAGGCCGAATGGATTTTCCGGAAAGTGTGAAATACCTCTCAAATGCATTTGAACAAAGATCTGTGTGTAGTTTTCTAGTATTCGAGTTATGCTAAAGAAACTGGGCGTGGAAATCGATATTTATCGATAACAAGAATAAAGCGATAAACTGTATACCTTATGGCCTTTGAGCTGCCTTCCCCTGGCTGTCACATACATCTGCACAAAACCAGTATACCCATGCTTAGTATGCAGGGTCTACAGCTAATTTCGCATGTCAAATTAAACCGCTGATCAAATGGGTAACTCGGTTGTCAGGAAAATCGCTTGGTTGGGGCAGTCGATAAGGCGCAACGAGCATTTGCTATGGACTTTGAGACTTTTTGCAAAGCTGCCAACGGAAAAGCTGCCGCTTGACTTGGCTAAAAGCTTGCACGCGCACAGTGGCTGTCAAACTGTGACAGCCGGTTTCTCAACAGCGTTAACAGACGCCGCGCAGCAAATGTGGTGAATTTCATTGGCCTTAACTTTGCCAGAGCTCGCGATATCTGATAGCCTTCTGTAATGCCCTTGCCTGGGGTATTATAAATATGTGACGCGCTATGTAACGCATTCAACGATTTACAACTAAATATATATTCCTATATATATTCCAGAGCAGTATCTCTTCTCTTCTGAAGAAACATTGCCTCTTATTTTTGCTGCAGGGTGAACATATCGTTCAAATTGAACTACTATATCATATAACTATATATAGGAAGCATCACTCGATATTAAAGTTCTTATATTAAACCATTTTTTTTCTACAAAACTATGTTGAGCAAATTTGGCATTAAATAGTCTTAGCATGCATGCTAAATATATGCAAAGTCTTATCAACTTCTATATTATATAGATCTATGGAATCGGTCGAAAAGGAAGTCTTAGCATATCTTGATCAAGCTCAGCAATCACGAGTGCCACAATGCGCCTATATCCGATCAATATCGGCCTACTATATATACTAAAGTATATGAAAAAAACGGCTCTACTACCTCTCTTGATATCTTGAACAAATTTCACAAACAAGCTACGCTTTTCTCTTAATACATAAGCAAATCCGAACTACTATAACATATGGTATCGCTATAGGAACAATCGGTTGCACAGAAGATTTTCTAGGGTATTTAGGCTGCGGCAAGCCAAGGCTAGCCGGGTATTGCGATTTTCAACTTCATTCATATTATATAGAAGACCATTGTGTGTGCGTGTGTGTGTGTGTGTGTGCGTGTGTGTGTGCATGGTCGGGCGATAAGCGTCGGCCACCTCTTGACTTCCAGTCGAAAGGCGGGCATCCGTCCAGATCTTGAGCGTGTTCTTGGTCAGACTGACCCAAATAGTGTGGCGCCCCGCTGATATGACAGGTCGCTATTGATAGGCATCAGCAGCAGCAGCAGCAGCAGCAAGAGTAGCAGCAGCAGCAGCAGCTGTGGCAGCATTCGCATTATCTTTTTCGTCCAGTAATTAAAATGCTCATCTGAAATTATTTTTAGTCGTCGCGGCTATCAACAACGGAAGCCACAATCCAAATCTTTTGGTTCGGGCTTCTAGGCGAAAAACACACACACACACACACACACACAAAGCAGAAGAAGAAAAAAAAACGCAATGCGGCGATTGGTCGTTGCCAGCCAGAACGGGCCGGAGTGGGCCGGGGTGCTGCCTTGTGGGCCACCAGTTCGACGCATGCGCTCCAATCGGCGCTCCAAACGGCCGCCAGGCGCCAATGGGAAGTCCGCCAGCCATGGGTGGCAATTGGGTGGCCCATGCGAGCCGCAGCCAGCCAGTGGCAGCTGTTCGCCAATTCGCCAAGACGCCAGCCGGCTTTACATGTGCTGACAATCGCGCGATCCTGGCCAAAAGCGCTTTGGGCCTAGAACCGATGCGATTCGCATCAGTTTCACGCTTGCAAGCCTAGCTCGGTGCTTATTGTCCGATCTAGATCAAAGCAGCCCAATCTATTTAATACCCTCTCGAGTTGGGCTTCAAGAACCAGGTCGCAAAGTTGATATTATACGAGATATATAGGTTTATGATATACGAGAATATGCCACTTAAATTTTAAGACTCTAGCTCTTGTAGTTTTCGATATCGTCAGAGCATAATATATTAAGAGATTTTTACCCACTTTTACTTTTAGGCCTAATATCTAATACATATTTTATTTTCTATAATTTTTAATATAATCTAGAAAAATTAATAAAAAAATTAAATTTTAAACCAATTTTAATTTTGTCAAACATTCGAACCAAAACGTAGTCTTATAAATGTGAAGAAATAGGGGATCTCAAACTGACATTGATTCGAATAAAATTCAAAACAAGTAAGAGGTTCTAGTCAGGAGCTCCCGACTAGGGTATACCCTGAACCCTCCACTTCCAACATCAAATGCATATATATATTCTATTTTAGAAGCTATATGTCAAGTTTGGTGACTTATCGATATCGATTTTTATCGATTGCTGGGAAACGGAGCAAGTTATCGATTATCGGAAACAAACTCGATCTGCGCGGGAACTAGGAGCATCTACATCTAAAATTTGTCTAGCTCTTATAGGTTCTGAGATCCTTGCGTTCATACATACGGACGGACAGGCAGACGGACATGGCTAGATCGACTCGGCTCTTGATGCTGATAAAGAATATATATACTTTATGGGGTCGGAGAAGCTTCCTTCTGCCTGTTACATACATTTGGCTTTCGCACAAATACCATATACCCTTATACCCAATTTTAATGGGTTCGGGGTATAAAAAAAAAAGTATATAAATCAGACTCCTTGTTATCTATAGCTATAGCAATCTTTTTTACACGTCTCTCATAACTTCCTGGTGCCCGGTTGGAAAGTAAAACGTGGTTCTAAAAAACCTTCAAGAAACTGGCACATTCTTCAACTTGAGCCCGCTGCTGTTAATACCCCGCAATTTGTGAAGTGCGAGGGGTATATTATATATGAAATCAAAAATATGAAATAAAAAAATTTCATTTCAACTATTTTTGGCGACTTTCTTATCAAATTCAACTCATGATGATCTTTCGATCATAAGCAATTTCTTTACATAAAAGGGTATCCTCTAGTCGGTACGCGTGCTGGTCTAGTGAAATTTATTTCCTGCGTGTGAAGTGCAAACAGCTCGAAAGTTGGCCGCAAAAGTGTTGGAAAGGCGACAAAAAGACAATGAAAGAAAAGAAAACAACAAAAAGTGTTGCACTAATAGCAAATGCAAGCAGGGACAACAGCGCCATCTAGCGACCGTAACACAAATAAGAAATCTACACGCAACACGCACGCACACAAACATGCATACGTACACAGCAGACATGCACATACATGTTTGTGTGCGCACTATCAGTGGGTGCTGCATTTGGGTTGCCTTTTCGGTTGGTGTTGGTCTCTTCACGCCAATTTATCAGTTGACCTACAGAGTGCTGCAGCAGCGGCGGCTCAACGCCAGCGTTGACGTCGGCAGCGGCGTTGCATTTGTTGCTGTTGTTCCAGTTAAATGCAGCACGCCCCCGCCCCACACTCCACCTCACGCGTATTGCGGCTGACAGCGATAAAGAATACGCAGTCGGGCCCAAGCCCTGCAGGCAACGGCAGCAGGGACGCCCGCACCCACCCTCTCTCTCATCCACTCTCGCACACACATTTTTCGCTCATTTCGCCACAAGGCGAATTTAGTGCAGAGCATCAACTTTGCATCCTGTTACCGATAAATGTGTAGAGAGCCAGTTGCACAAGCGCGCTGCGCGATAAACATTTGCAGCAGCCGTATGACGCTAGCTGCGACGCGAGCAGAGCCTCAACGAAAGCCACCCACGGCACAAAACGAGAGTCGACAGCGCGCAACAGGGCACATTGCGCAAAGTGGTGCAAGGAACACATATTTGGCGACCAAATTAATTGCAATTTACATAGCCATAAGAGAATCGATAATAATCGATATGTCAATTGCCTTGCAGCCAAGGTTTTGTACACATTACAAAAGTATTTAAAAAATATTTTCGAGCTGGCCGAAACTGGCGAGTCCTTAAAGCTAAGAGAATAAAGTCTATTTAAAATTTGACAATTTCCGTTAGCTTACCAAAGAAGAAATATTTCGCCGGCATTTCTCGCATATTGCGTCACGGTACAGCGCACGTTCGAGTTTTGTCTGTTTACTGCAGCACTTGAATTTACGCGTATGCGGCTATGTGTGTGCCTATGTGTATGTGTGTGTGTGCTCGCGCGCGTCTGCGTGTATGGGTGTGTGCTTAGCTAGCGCTTCGTACATCTTCGGGTGTTCGCGAGTCGCTTCTGTCGCTGTTTCTTCTGCGGTGCAGCGGCGTTCGCGTCTAAGTTCTTCCACTTTTACATTCGGTTGCGCGCCGTTGTACGAGACGGTCGCACAATTTTCGGTGCGTTTGCCTAAGCCTTGCGACACGGCGACTGCGATTCGCCTGGCCGCCAGGCTGTCTCACTGAATAGTTGTTGTTCATCTTCTTCTTGCCCGTTGCCGTTTGTGTTGTTCAAGTGCAATTTTTGGACACTAACATAAATACTATATATTTTTTTTAAGTGCTACAAGTTGAATTGCCTTTTTTTTTTGTTTGCAAATTATAACTGTTGTGGTGCTCCGCAGGATAACGTTAAACGCGCGCGCAGGATCGCAAAACATTTCGTGCCCTCGGCCGCTTCGTTTACAGTTAATTTTTCTAATTTATTTTCCGTTCTTTTTTTTTTTGGGTTTTTTTTGAGCCGCGAACTGAACTAAATAAGCAACAAAGTGCACGGGCAACGAGAACAAACCAAACGAATTGAACGCAAAGAAAAACAGCAAAAAGTGGCCGGCATATAACACAAATACAACAAATAATTATAAATGTCGCGCGCGAAATGCAACCAAAAATGACGCGCAGATCAAAGAAGAGCCCAAAAACTAGGAAACGGCACGCAAAATGAGCACAAAGAGAGCAAACGAAAGAGAAAAAAAAAACAACTGTTATAGGATCAGACAGTGCGCTGCACGCTCAGCCTTTTTCAAGCCACATTTTGGCTATGCGCGGCTAAAATGTTCCTAATGCCAAATTGTGCTCAGCTATTTTTAGCTATATTTATGGCTAAATTGACTTGAAGCTGGCAACACTGAGCCTCATTTCGGGCCGCTGCTCAGTCTGCTGGAGCTTATCCCATTCTCCTGTTCCGTTTGCGTCTTCTTTATCTGCATTTTCTGACGAATTCGCGTTTTGATTTCGGTTTTGTTATTGTTGTTGCTATTTTTTTTTTTCACTTGTCTTTCGATTTCATACATCAAATTCGGTTAAATTTTTTTTTTGTATTATTGTTTTTCTGCTGATACAGCTTATGCGTTTATTATATTTCGCCTGCTCCTGAGCTGGCAACAGTTGACAACAATTGCTGAAAATTCGTTTTGCTCGTCCGTTATTTTTGTTTTTTTTTTTTGTTTTTTTTTTTTTACTTGCAGTGCCATAAACATCGTAACCTTTTTCTTTCTTTAACACGTCTAAACGCATCAGAAGCAACAACTCGAATACGAACCCTAAAACTGCCCAATTAAATAATCAAAATAACCAAATAGCTGCCAAAACAAACAAAGAATAGAAAATAAAAAGGAGAACAAAAAACCGCCCGCACACACACACATACACAAGGATGGGATCAACGGGATCCCAAACGGGCGCCGCGACGTTGCGGCAGCGACACGCGCTGTCGCTGCTCTGGCGCCTCTTCGCCGTTGTCCTCGTTCTGAACGCCTGCCATGTGCCGATGCTGGATGCCAAGGTGAGTAACATTTAACGGTTAACTGGTAACGGGTAGCGGGTAGCGGGACGGCTGACTTAACAGAATACGGATTACAACAGTCACGTTAACAGCGTTGCGGAATTGCTCATGTAAAGGATAACATACAAATTTAACAGATTACATTACGTGTTAACAGAGCCACAGATTAACAGATCTTGCCATGCTGTTATTGCTGACAAAATCCGAGTCGCAAGTGCAGAGCATTATTTGAGCTTAAACTTAACAGGAAAACTTATTAGAACACATCAAATGCACTTTTAACAGAGTCAGAGGTTAACAGAGTTATTTAAAGTTATAAGCAGAGTCGCAAGTTAACAGGATTATTGAAAATTTGAGACAGTCAGAGATTAACAGGATTATTAAAAATGTTAAAACGACACAGGTTAACAGGATTATGCATAGCCCGAGTTAACAGTGCAATAAAGTAATATAACTAAAGTGCCTTGAACTTACAGAGTTCTTGGCTTAACAGGATAACATAATTACTCAAAACCCCAGTTAACAGTGCAATCAGGAAACATAATTAAGAACTAATGGACTTTTTAGCTTAACAGCCGAATAATGCATAAGCTATGTTATCAGTTAACAGTGCATGAAGGAAGCATAACTTAGAAAGATTGAAAGCTTAATCTATGTTAAAATAATAACATAATTATGTAAATCCATTGAACTAACAGAGTTCGTAGATTAACAGCTGAACAACATGAATGTTAGCACTTGATAATTGTTTAACGGAGCGCCAGGATAATTGGACAACAGAATAATGCACGTTAACTTCTTCTTCAGCATTGTGTTTGTAATCAGGAAAATTCTATTCAAAAACGTTTAGAAAACAGAATGTTATGCAAACTAGACATGGATGAACTTTAATGCATCGGTTCTTTAAAGAGATATTTTACTTTGAATCTTAAGTATTTTCTGTTTATTTGCAAGACATTTGCGAATCTCTTGATCTGTAGTCACATTTAAAGAATTTGACTTTCATTTTAAAGAAATTTGCTTATCTCCTCAGCTGCGATTGTTGTCTAGCAAAACTTTAACTTGAAGCAATAAAGCTGACAAAGTTGTTCGGAAATCTGTCTCTTTCCAGATGGCCTGAACTAACAGTTCGCTTGCAAAGCTGAGCTAGATAAATAACTGCTTGTTTCAGGCACTGAAAAGTGTCACCCTAACGATTTGTGATGCCAAAAAAAAAAGAAAAGATAAAAGTATGTAATTTATAGGGCAACACTTTAATATCTTGATACTGTCATATTGTTGGCATTCCTTGTGCCATGATGACACCATCTCGCTATCTAATGAGTAGGATTTCTAGAAAATATCTGCATATATATATATATATATATATATATAAGTGTGTGCATATGTATATTTCAGTCTGGGTAGAAGCATCAAGAAACTATCTCACATTTCTGTACAGCATCCTCACAGACACACGCGCGCTTGATCTAGTTTTCTTCGTGTTGATGACACAACACGAAACGAACAACAACAACAACGAACTTGAACTATTTTACAACGCAGATACATAAATATTAAACAAAAAGCAATAGCCACAAAAATATGTTCGCTTTTTCTTAATTTATGTATAAAGTATAAAGGGGAAACAGTTTTTCCACCTTTGGCTATTTGACCTTTGCTCGTTTCTAACAAATTAATAAAAAATAAAAAAAAAACCCAAAAGAAACAAAAAACTCATGAAAATGTGAGATCCATTAAAAAGCCTGAAGAAGAGACACGAAGCTGAAACACTTGTGTGTACGCACTGCTCTTATCAGCATGGTTAGAAGGAGATAGCTAGAGTGGGAGGGAGAGAGGGAGAGAGAGAGTGTGTGTGGGAGAAAGAGAGGGGGAGAGAGGGAGCGAGAGACCCTGGAGAAATGAACTGAGACCGGATTTGATTATACTTGAAATATTTTGTTCTTTCTTTATTTTCTTTTTTCTTGTTGTTTTTTATTGTCAATTTAATTAAACAATTATTTTGTCTGTCAGGCCAAACGACATTGGGTCAAGTTTGGGGGTTATCAAGGCCCCCCAGCCCAAAAGAAGAAAAATATATGAAAGTGAATTTATTTCAATTTTATTCGGTTGCTAATTTCATAAGAAATTTAAATAATTTTTTTTTTTTGCCAATTATAAAAGGCGCTCGTTTGTTGTCCATCATCTAATTTCTGTATCTATGCGTCTATATGGGTGTGCGTGTGCGTGTCTCTCTCTCTGTGTGTGTGTGTGTGCCCATCATAATGAGCTGATAGCTGATGGCTGATAACCCTTATCAGCGTGTTAATGACATGTAGTCGAAGAAGTCAACGTTGCTGTCGTCTTGCAATGAAATAATTTCTTAAATTAACATTTCAATAAAACAAAAACAAAACCAAGAAGAAACAAAATGTATGCTAGTAGATGTAACTGGCGCCTTATCAAGCAGCTGCCACAATTACAATAACAATTAATTCTGCAAAAGAAATAAACAAAAATAACATATTAAGAGCAGGCCATTGAATGGGGTCAGTAACAGCGATACACATTCATATATACACATATATATATATATGAATGCAGTCGCATCCGGCGTATGCGTAATATGTTTACAGAATACGCATACGCACAGGTTAACAGCTTAGCAGATTAAGAGCTGCAGAAATGTTAAGAATATTAACAGAAGCACTGCTCAGTGGATTAACAGTGTGTTGAGCATAACAGAAAAGAGCTCCACAGCTTACTTATTAAACAGTTTAACAGCTAAAGAACTTAACAGCAATTGTTAACAGTCGACAGTTTACAGAAAAGTCACTTAACAGCGTAGAAGAGCTCTTGATTACAACAGAGTCTATGACAGACTTGTTAAACAACTGCTGTTGCATATAATTGCTAAGCGTAAAGGTTAAACAATGTTAACAATGCACAAGTAGCTAACAGAGTATAGAATGTGCTGTGTAGTACGTTAACAGACTAAGAGGTAAAAGAGTTGAAATGTAAAGCTTAACAGCTTAACAGTTAGCAGGTTAACAGCCTAGCAGTTTACATTAACATAACATAAGCTGAATAGCCCAATTTGAAACATACATTAAATTGTGCACCTGGCCGCCAACAGGTGTCGCTTTAGCAGCTGCGCCCGAACAGGGACACTTTTTGGGCCTGGTAACAACTGATCAAGCGGTCTCTGTGTGGCCGCCAGGTGTCGCCTTTTGTGCGCCAAAAATAGGAAGAATGGTTTGCATATATCGCCCCCTAACCCCCTCGCCCACCCTAATTAACAGCCTTTAGGTAAAAGTTGCAGGTGGCGCTAGCAGCATTTAGCTGTAATATGCTAATCACAGTCATAAGATACAAATGTATCTATGCATCGCAACCGAGCATGCGATGTAGATACAAATATGCATATTTAAATATATATATATATATATATATATATATATATATATATATGTGTGTCTATATGGAACTGACATATGTGGCCTGCATGTCATCGGGTTTCGTGTCTGTCTGCCTGTCAAAATATTTGCAACGACAGCAAACAGTTGCCACAAAGCTTGCCACAGCTTGTTCGTTTCTTCTTTTTTATACATACATATATATATATATATATATATGTGTGTGTGTGTGTGTGTTTTTTGTTTCGCTTGGCAAATCAATTCTTGAGATACATTTCATTTGGCTGCTTTCTTTCGCATGTTCTGGCTACTCGTGGCTTACGCGTCATTTTCAATTGTTTGTTTGCACAACATATGGACACAAGATGTTGCCACAGTGCGCAACGCATCTGTTGCCGGCTGCCACACATACACGCTCTCCATATATATCTGTGTGTGTGTGTGTGTGTGTATCTGTTTGGCATGTTGCGATCTCAGAGAACAGCAGCAGCAGCAACTGCAGCGATCGACACGCCAGCAACAGTTGCTGCTGTTATTGGCCAGAACATGTGATACTTGAGCTCAAGTTCAGCTGGGTAACAACATGAGGGGCAGCTGCAGCACTAGCAGATACCCTGTACGCAGCGCTCAGCTGCCTTTAGAACTGACTTTTAAGCCTGGCCTGCCGCCTCAAGCTGCTCTTGGCTCTTTGTGTTTGGATCTTCATCATATTTTAGAAATTTATACAGATCAAGTTTGGTTGCTTTAGCTCCGATAATACTCGAGTTATGCGTAAATAACCAAAGCTGAAATTCCATATATTCTCGTTTTTTTGATTTGAAATGATTTCAAGTCTGTAGCGCAGCTCGTTCAGGAATATATATACATATATATAGTTTATGGAGCCGCAGTTGTCTCCTGCATTTAACACCCCTTTTGCTTGCGCCCATTTCGTGAAACTGGCACACTTTAGGCGCATGCATTACTTTTAAGCAAATAACACCTGCTGACCTCCCGCCTAACATCACCTCCTCCACCCATTGCCCGCCCAGCCGCCCTGCAACACTTCACCCACTGGCGATAGCGCAAAGTGTTAGCTTTGTCAATTGGCAGCAGCTGGCGCTTCCGCCTTGCGTGCATTGCATTAGCCAGTTGGCTCGGGTTGGGGTTGGGGGGGGAGGAGCGGCTCATCAGCAATTAGTCAGCCAGTTGATCTCATTTTTTATTTGTTTTTTTCTATTGCCTACCAAAACTGGCCAAAAATACAGCAGCAAGGAGAGTGTGGAGGGGGGGGGGGGGGGGTGGCAACAGCTGGCCAACGTCCAACAACAGGCAGCAAGAACTGATGTATGCATTTTGTAATAGCCACGTCTGAAGCAAACATCTATAAATAGTTGGCCAAAACATGCCGCGACAGATACAAGATACAAATTCTACAACAACATAGAAATTCTCTCCCTGTGCGTGTGTGTAAATTGTAAATGGATAAAGAAGAGCGCAAAAAAAACTTAAGTTCTAACAAACAAATATTACAATAGATGCCTGAACATGCTCTGATACTAGAGAGATGCCCTAACAGGCAGTTGCAGCTTGTTTTCCTGTTTGCTCCAGTCAAGTGTTAACTGA